GTCACCCAATAGAGGCTCTGTTTGGAATTCTCCATCCCTTGAGAGCAGAGTCAGAGGGCAGACCAAAATGTGTCTGCAGAAGCGTTGTGGTATGGTGGAAATAGTGGAATGAGAGGCAAGAAATCTTAACTCAGTTCCTCTTTGACTTTGGGGAAATTGCCTTTCCTTCATAAATAATAAATCATACAAGATTATTTTAAAACAGGGATCACCAAAAAGTTTTTGTAGAGTAACAGCAAATATTTTAAGTTTTGAACATGGTCTCTGTTGCAACTACTCAATCTGTCCCATGAAAGCTGTCATAGACAATATGTAAATAACTGGGCATGGCTGTGTTTCAATAACATTTTATTTATAAAAGAAGGTGGTGGGCAGGATTTGGCCCACCAGCTGCAGTTTGACGATTGCTGATATAGATTGCCAACCAGTGTTGATATTTTACATCTCTGATTCATGTTTAGGCAATTCCAGAGGGAACTGGTGAAGCAGGAGGTTATCTTGTGAATCGCATTCCCAGAGACAGTTCTTCCTTCTGGCATAGATTAGAGGACTCAGGCTGGAAGCAGGGGCAAGAGCTGAATAAACTTTGGAATATCCACCTCCTTGAGGAAACTGATTTAATGAGAGGAGAGCCAGTATACTGAATGGAGTTTGGCAAAGTTATGACTTAGATAAGTGAGAGTGAGTTTGAAGGGGTAATGACTGTGAGTTCGGGTGGGTATATATGTGAAGGAAAATTTAAAAGTGTGTGTGTGTGTGTGTGTGTGTGTACTTATGGTGAAGGGGTATTTTGTGTGAACAGGGAAAATGTGTGTTAGTATGTAAATCAAAATTTGTATGAGTAAATAATGTGTGTTGTGACTGTATAAATGAATGTATCTGATAATACGGTAATACGAATGGAAGATTGTGTGTATGTGGATTTGTAGCAAGCAGAGCTGGAATTGAACTCAGGTAGGTCTAAAGTCCATATAATTTTTCCTATATTATATTGTTTACATGTCTTAGACATTCTGGTGAAATAAGAGAATGAGAAGGGAGTGGAGAGGACACCAAAGAAAAGTGATTAGGTCATCAACAACAAAAAATGTCTGTTTCTAAAACTAATGGAAGGTTTGACTCAATAATCTGGGACTCAAATATCAGCTTAGCCTCTAACAGGTTGTTTGACTTTGGGCTGTTGCTTATCTGAGATTAGTTTCTTCTTGCATGAACTAGTGATACTTTCAATTCCATAGGTTTTGTACAATAATTAGAAATAATAAATACATCTAACAGTAGTAATGGTTGCTATCATCAGAGAAGTATTAATGATAGAAATTGGTTATTACTAGCAACAAGAAATGAAAAGTAATATTAGATTTGGCAACCATGATATGACAGATTATTTTAGAAAAGGAAGATTTATACATAGTAGTGTATATATGTCAATCCCAATCTCCCAATTTATCCCACCCATCCTTTCCTCATATGCTTATTCTCTACATCTGTGTCTCTATTTCTGATTTGCAGATAGGTTAATCTGTACCATTTTTCTAGATTCCACATATATGCATTAACATACAATATTGTTTTTCTCTTTCTGACTTACTTCATTCTGTACTAGATTGGAATTAACATACACACACCACTATGCACAAAACAGACAATTAATGAGACCCTATTGTATAGCAGAGGGGAAAAAAAAAGAAGAAGCAATCTGTTTCTAGGACATATATTAAAGTGCAAATTGCTCGGTCGTGTCTGACTCTTTGCAACCCCAAGGACTATATAGTCCATGGAATTCTCCAGGCCAGAATACTGGAGTGGGTAGCCTTTCCCTTCTCCAGGGGATCTTCCCAACCCAGAGATTGAACCCAGGTCTCCTGCATTGCAGGCGGATTCTTTAGCAGCTGAGTCACAAAGGAAGCCTAAGAATACTGGAGTGGGTAGACTATCCCTTCTTCAGGGGATCTTTTTGACCCAGGAATTGAACTGGGGTCTCCTGTATTGCAGGTGGATTTTTTACCAACTGAGCTAACAGGGAATATTAAGTTAACCTTAAAAATGCATTCCAATATGCATTCAGTTCAGTTCAGTCGCTCAGTTGTGTCTGACTCTCTGTGACCCCATGAATCGCAGCACGCCAGGCCTCCCTGTCCATCACTAACTCCCGGAGTTTACTCAAACTCATGTCCATCGAGTCGGTCATACCATCCAGCCATCTCATCCTCTGTCGTCCCCTTCTCCTCCTGACCCCAATCCCTCCCAGATTCAGGGTCTTTTCCAGTGAGTCAACTCTTCGCATGAGGTGGCCAAAGTATTGGAGTTTCAGCTTCAGCATCAGTTCTTCCAATGAACACCCAGGACTGATCTCCTTTAGAATGGACTAGTTGGATCTCCTTGAAGTCCAAGGGACTCTCAAGAGTCTTCTCCAACACCACAGTTCAAAAGCATCAATTGTTTGGTGCTCAGCTTTCTTTATAGTCAAACTCTCACATCCATACATGACTACTGGAAAAACCATAGCCTTGACTAGATGGACCTTTGTTGGCAAAGTAATGTCTCTGCTTTTTAATATGTTGTCTAGGTTGGTTATAACTTTCCTTCCAAGGAGTAAGCATCTTTTAATTTCATGGCTGCAGTCAGCATCTGCAGTGATTTTGGAGCCCCCCAAAATAAAGTCAGCCACTGTTTCTACTGTTTCCCCATCTATTTTGCATGAAGTGATAGGTGCAGACAAATACTGTTTGATTCTACTTATACAAGGTACCTAGATAATCAAATTCTTAGAAAGTACATTGGCAGATGCCAGGGGCTGGGGGTAAGTGTGGTGGGGGAGAATGGGGAGTTAGCGTTTAATAGGGACAGAGTTTCAGTTTAGAAAGATAAAATATTTGGAGATGGATGATGATGAGAGTTGAACAACAATGTGAATGCACTTAGTCCCACTGAAATGTGCAGTCAGATATGGATAAAGTAGTATGCTTTATAATATGTGACTTACCACAATGAGAAGCACTGAAAAAGGAAAAGGAAGTTTTAGGTGTTGTAAGTAAAATGGCATGGGGTAAAGATTGGGAGGGTGGTAAGGAGATAAATGAAGAGAGAGTGCAGCCAGCCCTGCTTTTCTGAAACCGAGGTGAATGGGGGAAGAGACACTGTCAGGAGAAGGAGTCAGCAGAGAGGGAGAGTTTGAAATGACCAGAGTGACAGATTAATGGAGAGAAGCTTGGGGTCCAGTGTACAGATGGAGAGCTGAGCCTTGAGTGGGAGAAAGAGGGAGAAGACAATTCAAATATAAATTTGTAGCTGGCAGAATGAGGGCGATTAAGGGAATTAACAGATATTCTTTTCCTTGAACCAGGAACCAGGAAATCGCAATCACCTGATGAAGGGGACCCAGGTGGAGTGAGGTGGACATGGTGTGATTTTCAAAGCATCTCGTGGGTAACCAAATTCTAGCTTCACCATTTACTGGCCAGGTGACCTTGGGTACGGGGGATGAAAAACTCCCTAAGCTCTGTTTGCTCTCCATCAGTAAAATGGGAAAACGACTACAGTCATTTCCTGCTATGTTGATTGAGAAAATGCACTTGCAGCCCTTAGAGCAGAGATACTCTCAATTGATCTCGTCCCTGGTCCCTGCTCTCCAACCTGCCTCCTCCCTTCCATATCCTTCCTACATAGCAGGGCCAGAGAGAATGACCTCAAACGCAAACTTCACCATGCCCCCCTCTCATGGAAAACATAAATCCTAAACTCCTTACTTCAGTACCCAGAACCCTCAGTGAGTTGACCCCTACTTCACTGCCTCACATTATTTCCTATCATTTCATGCCATGTCCTCCAGGCTATAGTAACCCTGAATCACTATAATTTCCCTACAAACTCCTTGTCCTTTCAGATCTTTGTGACTTTGTTTATGTTCTTCCTCCTCACATGACTTAATCTGGCAAACTCTTATTTAATTTTTTAAGGTTCAACTCAGAGTGGCAACTTTAGAAATCCTTTTCTGAACTTCTAGGAAGCTTTCCATGTTTCCACAGCTCCTATGTTTAACTTTTCCTCTACCCTATCTGTATTGTATAGATATTTTGTTTAATTGTCTGACTCTTCTCAGGGAGGTCCTCCAGGAGCCATGTGTTCAGTAAGGTTTGTTAAATTGATAATGAATTCAGTTACCATTTTCCTTTTGAGATGTATATCACATTCTGATAAGGTGGAAAATGCAGGGTTATTCACAGCTCTCAACTGTTTATAACAACCTGATCCTAAGGTCTCTGGCATTCTAGAGCTGGGAGAACTCACTTAGAAATATCTAATCCAGAGTCTCCCTGACTTTAGTTTTAAAGTGACAAATAAAAGAGAGACCCAGAGCAGGGAAGTAATGTTGCCAAGATAACATAGCTGTTGAATAGAATGGCAAGGACTTTTAACCCATGTTTCCTGGTTTCTAACCAGGACCATTTCCACTTCTCATCCAGGGAAAAGTGATCTGTTTCCATTGCCCCCACTCCAGCTCCAGTCACCTGTTTGGAAACAGAAAAGAGATGACTGCCAAATCCCATACACCAACATCCAGATGACTCATCCTGGCTATGGCAACCCCCAACCACACTAGTCCCAGCCATTCACTCTTCATTCTGCTGGGGATCCCTGGCCTGGAAGACCAGCACACATGGATCTCCCTCCCATTTTTTCTTTCCTACCTTGTTGCTGTCCTAGGGAACAGCCTCCTTGTCTTCATCATCATGACTGAACGCAGCCTCCATGAGCCCATGTACTTCTTCCTCTGCATGCTGGGTGTGGCGGACCTCATCCTGTCCACTACCACCGTGCCCAAAGCCCTGGCTATATTCTGGTTCCATGCTGGAGAGATTTCCCTTGATGGTTGTGTCACCCAAATCTTCTTCATCCATGCCACCTTCATTGCTGAATCAGGAATTCTGTTGGCCATGGCATTTGACCGCTATGTAGCCATCTGTGACCCATTGCGCTATACCACAGTGCTCAGTCAGGCAGTAATCATAAGGGTTGGTCTGGCTGTGCTCCTGAGGAGTTTCTCTGTGATCCTTCCAGATGTGTTCCTGGTGAAAAGACTACCTTTCTGCCATAGCAACGTGCTACCACATACCTACTGTGAGCACATGGCTGTTGCCAAATTTGCTTGTGCTGATATTCGTGTCAACATCTGGTATGGTTTGTCTGTCCTTCTCTCTACTGTAGTGGTAGATGCCTTGCTCATCTTAGTTTCCTACATCTTCATCCTCAATGCAGTCTTCCATCTCCCTTCCCGAGGAGCTCGGCAAAAGGCCCTAGGCACATGTGGCTCCCACCTTGGTGTCATTTCCATGTTCTACTTGCCTGGCATTTTTACCATAATTGCCCAGCGATTTGGACATCAGGTTCCTCCTTATATCCACATTCTGCTGGCAAATGTCTGCATGTTAGCTCCTCCTATGCTAAACCCCATCATTTATGGTGTTAAGACCAGGCAGATTCGAGAATGTGTGGTTAGTACTTTGTCTTCACTGTGGAAACTCTGCTGAGCTTGTATGACAGGTGATATGATTATCAACATAGGATCTTGCAATTCCTTTGCTTACTTTGTAGAGATTTCTCAAGTAAGCGTTGTGTTGACTGTGAACAAAATGATTTGTTGTGATTTTGAAAGATAGAATGCAATGTTATCTTGAGAAGGGTAGTATTTAGGAAAGGCATGAGCTGTTGGATCAAAATTACATTTGAATACTGGATTTTCCAAAAGTGATGTGTTTGACCTTGGGAAAGTTAGCTTATTCTCTTAGAGACTTCTCAGTGTATGCATAGGGCCCCAGAAAAACAGAAATATCAAAACCAAACTAAGTCATATTAAACAATGAGGATTATTTCCTATAATAAACTTATCTACTAAAACATCTAGACAGAATACATATTCATTTAATAATATATACATTTGAGGTATAATAAACTTTTATTCTGAATTAGAAATGGGACCAGTGAAACAGAAAAAAGAGCCCAGAAATAAACCCTTGATATTGGTCAGTGAATCTTTAACAAGGATGTCAAGAATTCTCAAAAAGGAAAGGACAATCTCTTAATAAATGGTGTTAGGAAAATTGGATATTCCTATACGAAAGATTGAAATTAGGCCCTTACCTTACACCATAAACAAAAGTTAACCTGAAGTGAGTTAAAGACTTAACTCTAAGTCCCCAAACTGTAAAAATCTTAGAAGATAATATGGAGAAAAACTTCTTGGCATCAGTCTTGGCAATGATTTTCTTGATATCACACAAAAGCAAAATAAGAAGTGGGACTACATCAAACTGAAAAGTTCCTGCATGCGTGCTCAGTCGTGTCTGACTCTTTGTGACCCCATGGACTGTAGTCCACCGGGTTCCTCTGTCAATAGGATTTTTCAGGCAAAACTCCTGGAATGGGTTGCCATTTCCTCCTCCAGGGGACAGTCCCGACCCAGGGATCAAACCCATGTCTCCTGTGTCTCCTGCATTGACAGGCAAATTCTTTATTACTGAACCACCTGAGAAGACCCCATAAGCTCCTACACAACAAAGCAAACAATCAGTAAAATGAAAAGGTAACTACGGAATAGGGGAAAATATTTGCAAACCATATATCAGCTAAGGGGTTGATATCCAAATATATAAGGAACCAATGAAACTCAGTTAGCAAAACTCAATAGTAAAATAACACACACACACACAAAATCAAAAGGAAATAACCTGACTAAAAAATAGGCAAAGACCTGATTAGACATTTCCTGAAGAAGACATATAGTCAATAGGAACGTGTAGAGATTCTCAACATCACCAGGGAAATGTGAGTTAAAACCACAATGAGCTATCAACTCAAACCTGTTAGAATGGATATTATCAAAAAGATAAGAGATGACAAATGCTGGCAAGGATATGGAGAAAGGGGAACCATTGTGTGGTGTTGATGAGAATGTAAATTTGTGGAGCCAATATGGAAACAGTATGGCTGTTTCTTAAAAAATTAAAAGTAGAACTATCATATGATTCAGAACTTGTACTTCTGTGTATTTGAAAATAAAATCGGTATCTCAAAGAGATATATACATTTCCATGTTCACTGAAGCATTATTTACAATAGCCAAGGCATAGGAACAACCTAAATGTCCATTGAAAAATTAATCGATAGATAAAATATTACACACACCCACATACACGCACATTTATGTTATCCAGCCATAAAAAGAAGGAAACCTTGCCATCTGTTACAACATGGATGAACCTTGAAAATATTGAAATAAATGAAATAAGCTAAAGATAACTACTGTATGATCTCATTTATAAGTGGAATTAAAAAGAAAAATAAATGACCCAATCAAAAATGGGCCAAAGATCTCAACAGACATTTCTCCAAAGAAGACATACAGATGGCTAACAAACACATGAAAAGATGCTCAACATCACTCATTATCAGAGAAATGCAAATCAAAACCACAATGAGGTACCATTACACACCAGTCAGGATGGCTCCTATCCAAAAGTCTACAAGCAATAAATGCTGGAGAGGGTGTGGAGAAAAGGGAACCCTCTTACACTGTTGGTGGGAATGAAAACTAGTACAGCTGCTATGGGGAACAGTGTGGAGATTCCTCAAAAAACTGGAAATAGAATTGCCATATGACCCAGCAATCCCACTTCTGGGCATACACACTGAGGAAACCAGATCTGAAAGAGATACATGCACCGCAATGTTCATCGCAGCACTGTTTATAATAGCCAGGACATGGAAGCAACCTAGATGCCCATCAGCAGATGAATGGATAAGGAAGCTGTGGTACATATACATCATGGAATATTACTCAGCCATTAAAAAGAACTCATTTGAATCAGTTCTAATGAGATGGATGAAACTGGAGCCCATTATACAGAGTGAAGTAAGCCCGAAAGATAAAGACCATTACAGTATACTAACACATATATATGGGATTTAGAAAGATGGTAATGATAACCTTATAGGCAAAACAGAAAAAGAGACACAGATATACAGAACAGACTTTTGGACCTTGTGGGAGAAGGTGAGGGTGGGATGTTTTGAGAGAAGAGCATGTATATTATCTATAGTGAAACAGATCACCAGCCCAGGTTGGACGCATGAGACAAGTGCTCAGGCCTGGTGCACTGGGAAGACCCAGAGGAATCGGGTGGAGAGGGAGGTGGGAGGGGGAATCGGGATGGGGAATACATGTAAATCTATGGCTGATTCATGTCAATGTAGGACAAAACCCACTACAATATTGTAAAGTAATTAGCCTCCAACTAATAAAAATAAATGAGAAAAAAAAAAAGAAAAGAAACTCATAGAAACAGGAAAAAGATTGGTAGTTGCCTGAGGTGAGGGTCTGGGGGTAGGGTAAATGGGTAAAAGTGGTCAAAGGTACAAACTTTCAGTATTTAAGATGAGTATTTTATGAGGATGTAACATATAGCATGATGACTATAGTTAATAATACTTCATTGTATATTTGGAAGTTGCTAAAAGAGTAGATCTGAAAAATTCTCACCACAAACATATATTAATACAAATACAACTATGTGAGGTGAGAGATGTGTTAACAAAGTTTACTGTAATAATTTTGCCATATATATGTGTATTAAATCATTACATTGCACACCTTAAATTTAAAAAATGTTGTATCTCAATAAAACTGGGAGAAAAAAGAGAAAAATGTGGTACATACACACAATGGAATATTATTCAATCATAAAAATAAGGAAATCTTGCTACTTTTGACAACATGAATAAACCTGGAGTACTTTATAGTAGGGCTTTCCTTGCAGCTCAGATGGTAAAGGATCTGCATGCAATGCTAAATGAAATAAGCCAGAAACAGAAAGACAAAAACAGTATGATTTCTCTTACATGGAGAATCCAAAAAAAAATTGAACTCACAGAAGTAGAGAGTAGAAAGGGGTAAGGGAAATGGAGATATTGCTTGAAGGGTACAAACTTTCAGTTTGGGGATCTAATGTACAGTATGGTGACTATAGTTTAAAAAATGGTATTATATACTTGAAATTTGCTGATTTGATCTTAAGAAATGTTTTAATATAAAATATTTTCATAAGTAAGTGACGGGCACCATAATCTTTAAATTTCTTCATCATGCTTTTATCATATGGCTGTGATAGAGCCGAAAATTTAAAGTATAAATAGGATCTTGAATACTGACAAAGAGTAAGCACTGGAGAGATTTTTAACGTCTTCCTGTCTTAGCTTTTTTATCTTTAAAACTTTGCTATGATAGTTTCTGCTTCTTCTATCAATATTTCAAAAGGAAGTTGTGGTAACAAGGGAGATCAAAAAGTCAAGAGACCTTATTTGAATTTTAAAGGATAATATTAATCAAAATTAGAATTGGTGCTGGTAAATCTCTCATCTCTCAAGAGAACTAAAAAAAATTTTTTTGAAGCACAGTTGATTTACAGTGCTGTGTTATTTTCAGGTGAATGGCAAAGTGATTCAGTTATACATGTACATGTATCTATTCTTTTTCAAATTCTTTTCCCTTATAAGTTAATACAAAATATTGAGTATAGTTTTCTGTGCTATACAGTAGGTTCTCGGTTATATATTTTATATAAAGTAGTGTATATATGTTAATCCCAAACTCCTAATTTATCTCTTCCAACCCCCTTTGCCCCTTTAATAACCATGTTTGCTTTCTACATCTGTGTGTCTATTTCTGTTTCATATATGAGGTCATTTATATCATTTTTTTAATATTTCACATATAATTGATACTTGTCTTTTTCTGGCTTACTTCACTTAGTATGATAATCTTATGTGTGACATGCTGGAGTGTATCTGGATCACTTGTTGGTAATTATCGGTGGGGATAAAAGTTGAGATACTATGAAACCTCTACTATTTAATTCTTTTTGGTGGAGATGCAGGGGATGGCAGTATGTCATCTGTGTAATATATCTGCAAACATCAGGGTAATCCAATATGCCAAGTTATTCAGATTTTGAGAAATAAAAATTTATTTAAGTTTATATCATTATGGCAGTATCCTCACATCAGCATATCAACTGAAGGGGAAAAAAACCCACCATCAATTACATTGGCCACCCCCAGAGCAGAGAAGTAGAAAAGCTGATTTCATAATCTACCCTTCTAATAAAAAATATTTCTCTTTGACCCATGTTGGATATACAGAATCCAACCCTCCCCCAGCACATCCCATTCATGATGAACTAAATTCTCCATATTCTCTCTAGTGTATCAACCAAAGCACTGGTCACCTTGGGCAACTTACATTGAGTTAGCTCTATGTCTCTTGCCTGAGGACTCTGTTGTTGCTATCTTTCCATCAAAGTAACTTCTTTCTGTCCAGGGTTGAGACTTAAAAACAACAGCTTTTTTCAAGGTCACTGACATCTTTGTGTAGTATCTAATTTTTTCATGAAATATTTAGCATATGTGCTAAGGGCAATCTGAGATTCTATTTTAGGTAAGGAATCACATTTCCTGGAAGGACAGTGGCTCTCAGGGAGCCTACTGATGTTCACATGTAGAGCTTCATTGTGCCAACTTAAAAAGTTTAAATCCAAGAAAAGTGTCTGCTGAAATCAGGTGATGCTGTTACCTCCTTCCTGGCCTTCACACTAGTCAAGGTTCCACTGGAGAAGAACAGGAAATAAATATTATGAGATTTGCTTATGGTAAGAAATTCGCTTAAACATCTGGGAGGGCTGGCCAGACAAGTCATACAATCCACAGGGCAGATTATCCAGGAAGGTGAAGTTCAGATTCTTGGGCATGAGTTGAAGCTGCTATTCACAAGTGGACTATCTTCTTCACAGGAGCCTCAGATCCGCCCTTAGACTTCCACCTGATTGAACATTAGGCCCACCCAGCTTCTATTTAAAGTCAAATCTTTATGGACTTGGCTCAGATGGTAAAGCATCTGCCTGCAATGCTGGAGACCCGGGTTTGATCCCTGGGTACCCCCTGGAGAAGGAAATGGCAACCCACTCCACTACTCTTGCCTGGAAAATTCCACGGATGGAAGAGCCTGGTAGGCTACAGTCCATGGGGTTGTAAAGAGTTGGACACAACTGAGCAACTTCACTTTCACTTTCATTATGGACTTTGATGACATCTACAAAAATATCTTTATAGCAACAATCTGGATTAGTGTTTGATTGAAAACTTGGGGGCTTATAGCCTAGGCAAGTTGGTCTATCAAAAAACCATGACACTGGTCATTTATGTTGATATGTTCTTTAACCAACTCCACTATCAACAAGATGTGGTTGGGAGATAACAGTGGAAATGAGGGATCACAGCTGGTTAGATATTTAACATGGCAACCTAAGGCATGCATAATTCAGCCTTTATTTTAAAAGTTAATGCCTGTTTTCCTATAGGCACTGTGAAGACACTCTTGATCAGATGTCTGTTGGGAAGATAATCCTTGAGGTGTGCAAGGTAGGAATGATAGGATAGATTGAGACCAATTTATTTAGGAAGTCCTTTGCAAGATACATGGGACTTCCCTGGTGGCTCAGATGGTAAAGCGTCTGCCTACAACGTGGGAGACCCAGGTTCAATCCCTGGGTTGGGAAGATCCTCTGGAGAAGCAAATGGCAACCCGTTCCAGTACTCTTGCCTGGAAAATCCCATGGACAGAGGAGCCTGGTGGGCTACAGTCCATGGGGTGGCAAAGAGTTGGACATGACTGAGTGACTTCACTTTCATTTTGCAAGATACATAGTAGAGATTGGACCAAAAGCCTAGAGATGGAGAGGAAAAAGCAAAACTTGAGTCACATGAAGAAGGTAGAAACATGCTTTAGTTGATCCAGATGAGTTTGGGGGCCAAATGCAAGTAGTTTCTTTCATGGAGGGAATCATAAAGCAACATAGGGCAGGAATACTGGTGCTGTAGGTCATTTGACATAGACCGTGGGTGACCTTTATGCCAGTTTGCCTGTGGCATCCTGACACATCTGCAGAGACAAAGGTGGTTTGGAGTTCATGGGCACATGAGACAGGGTCACTGTCTGAGGAGTGGAACCAACAGAGGGGTTGCTTGTGTCCAGACAAAATCATCTGGATCCCTACCAGCCTGTGTTAAGTGGACAGAGGATCAGAGGGGCTGAGTTTGTTCCTCTATCATTGAAACCAGGATTGAAGAAGGGCCGCAGAGGTCCAGCAAAGGCACATTCGGAGAAGGTGTAGATGAGGGAGCCGTGGTCAGTGATGTTGTAGAAAGAGACAGTGCTGGCCTCATAATCTAGGAAGATCCCAACTCGGCTTGGAGGCACCTGAAGGTGGAGGGGAGTCTGGGGGCAGGTGCCAGCCTCATATTTCTGTTTGTTCCACAGCCAGATAATCCAGAAGCCATTGTCGGAGTTGAGCGAAAACTGCCCCTTCCTCTGCACATTGTCTCTACAAACCCCCAGGTCCCAGGCTTCCTTTCCTGTCACATCTACCTCCCAGTAAACTTTCCCGGAGTTAAAGCGCTGGGCACCCAGTACCATGGGGTAAGTATCAAATCTCTCCTCATTTTCAGGCACGTCCTGCCGGGTGTTTGTAAGCCTCACTTGTCTCCGATTCTCCGAAAGGATGAGCCACGGATTGGCTGTCTGTGGATCCAGGGTGATGTGTACTGCAGAGAGAGGGTCACAGTCAGGCTGGGAGAGTGTGCAGAGTCAGCAGCCCTGTGCCGGCGGTGGGGGGATGAGGATGAAGGGGTGACCCTGAGCCTCACTGTGTGAGGAGATGACCCCTAGCCAACTCTGACCCCTGCCCTGACCTTTGAGGGAACCACCTTCTCGATTTCTGCACCTGCCCCACCTACTCTAACCTGCCATCTTTTTCCAACCCAGGGATGCACTGGGCACCCTCCTTATCCCCGTCACTCCCTTGGTAAGCCGGTCCCACACCCCTGGTGCCGGCCTCACCTCCACACGTCCTCAGCATCTTCTTGATCCCGGGCACATAGATTACATTCCTCAGGTCTGTGGAGGCAACATCCAGCTCCTTCAGGCTCCAGGATTCACTCCTGGGGGAAAGAGAGTTAGAGAACCTGTCTCCAACTCCCACCTCATCCTGCCCAAGTCCGATGGCTATACCAACCCTGTGCATGACTGATAATTTAATTCGATGCAAATCTGCAAACAGCTCTTGTGTTAGGGGGGCTTCCCAGGTGATGCAGTGGTAAAGAACCCACCTCCCAATGCAGGAGACGTGGGTTCAATCCCTTGGGTCAGAAAGATCCCCTGGAGAAGGAAATGGCAGCCCATTCCAGTATTCTTGTGTGGGAAATCCTATGGGCAGAGGAGCCTGGGGCTACAGTCCATGGGGTTGCAAAGAGTTAAGACACAGTGAAGTGGAAGCTGCCCAGTCATGTCCAACTCTTTGCGACCCCATGGACTGTAGCCTGCCAGGCTCCTCTGTCCTTGGAATTCTCCAGGCAAGATTACTGGAGTGGGTAGCTGTTTCCTTCTCCAGGGGATCTTCCCAACCCAGGGATCGAACCCAGGTCTCCCACACTGCAGACGGATTCTTTACCATCTGAGCCACCAGGGAAGCCTGGACACAACTCAACAACTAAACAACAACAACAACCACAACAATCTGTGTTAGGATCCCTGGGGATGGAGGGCAAAATAGGCAGGATTTTGTTTCAATCTAAGCCTTGATGGCTACATGAGCGTCTGCATCATCTGGCCAGCCTGTATGTCTCTCTGGGTCATTACACAAGTACCTTCTGTTTCACTTCATAACTCAAGGTGTCTGACACAGGCGAATCACCTCCATGAGGAACCTCAAGGAGTCTCGCCCATGCTGTGGGTCTTACCCATGGCTCTTTTGGAGAGGTTTGAAACCGGTTAGATACTTTTTAAAAGAGTCCCAGCAGGCTGTAAACTCAACTTCTCTGTCTGTTATAAGTTCACTTTGTGAAGATATGACATGCCAGTTACATTGGGCACCTCACCAACTGTGTGTGTTCAGTTGCTCAGTCATGTCCAAGTCTTTGTGACCCCAGGGACTGTAGCCTGCCAGCCTCCTCTGTCCATGGGACTCTCCAGGCAAGAATACTGGAGTGGGTTGACAATCACCAACTGAGCTGTCCATTAATTAGCCTTCTGAGACCAGAACATATTTTACGGAGGACTGGGTCTTTGAGAATAGGAAGGAGGATGGCGATGACTTCAATGCATGTTTTCTAACTAAAACTCTTTTTTTAAGGTATATACTGCCCCATCCTCTAATGAAGAAAACCTTTCCTTACCTTTCCAGGACACTTTTCACCTCCTGAGGAGACAAGAAACAGACAGTAAGTTCTGGAGTCCTTAGTCCAATTGAGACTTCAGTTGTGTGCGTAAAGCGATGTCACCCTGAGGTCTACAGAACACTGCTCTGCCCCAAGCCTCTGGACCAAGGCCTGAAAAATGCCTCTGACCACCTTGAAATGGATGAGGAAGCAGAAACCCAGCATGAGTGTGACCTGTAATCAGGGGAAGGAAGCTGCTGCTGCTGCTGCTAAGTCACTTCAGTCGTGTCTGACTCTGTGTGACCCCATAGACAGCAGCCCACCAGGCTCCGCTGTCCCTGGGATTCCCCAGGCAAGAACACTGGAGTGGGTTGCCATTTCCTTTTCCAAAACATGAAAGTGAAGTCGCTGAGTCATGTCCAACTCTTAGTGACCCCATGGACTGCAGCCTACCAAGTTCCTCTGTCCATGGGATTTCCCAGGCAAGAGTACTGGAGTGGGGGTGCCATTGCCTTCTCCGAGAGGGGAAGGAAAAGTAGTTTACAAAACCTGATTCAGAAAACAAATGAAAAAGATCAGATTCTTGGTGGGGAGAAGAAAGGAGCAAATAGTTCTGCCTGGCTGAGGCCCATACCCAGTCACAGAGAAAGAATGGCCGAGTCAGGACACACGAATGCACAGAAACTGCTCTCAGTAGACTTGCAGTGCTGGGGAGGAAGGGCTTAAAGCGCTGTCCTATGCTATGGTTAATGTCCCCGTCATGTATGTGAAACCAAAGCATCTGAGAATGTTCTGTGGCAGGGACAAGGGTCCTCACCCAGGAACTGGCAGGCTCCTAGGCCCTGTCAAAAGTGCCTCAGAGAGCTCCACTCAGAGAAGGGCAGATGATTTAGATCATGGGAAGAAGAGGGCTGCCAAGTCAAATCAATCTTATTGCCTTTTATGCACAAACAAATTTTCCCAAGACTGTATCTGACCAAGAGACAGTGAAAAGGTATGGGGAAAAGAGGAACCACAGAATGTTACAGCAGAGGGACTTTTGAGACCATGTAGTCCAAAGTTTCCCAAAATGAGGCAAGCTCATCATTGCTGGGTGTGAGATGGTTTTTAAGTATAACACACATCAGTGAATTTATTTAAAAAAAAACTATTTTAAAAATAAATTCATTGATGTGTGTTCTACTTAATATTTCTTACTCAGGTGATAATACCTCTTATTCAGGTGAACTTGGTTAAGTTTTTTAGCTTCAGTCTATCACTAAATCTCTTCACTTCTTTGCACCTTAAGTTCTCTCATCTATGAAATAGGGGTAATAATAATAGCATCCACCTCATTTCATTGTCATGAGGGACTGAATGCCTGACAATTTTATATGCTATTTAAGAATTTTCAGTTATTCATAGTATTATGAAATAAATTAGAATTGTGTTGCTGAAGAAGACTCTTCAGAGTCCCTTGGACTGCAAGGAGATAAAATCTGTCAATCTGAAAGGAAATCAATCTTGAATATTCATTGGAAGGACTGATGTTGAAGCTCCAATACTTTGGCGACCTGATGCGAAGACCTGACTCATTGGAAAAGACCCCGATGCTGGGAAGGATTGAGGGCAAAAGGAGAAGAGGGATGCAGAGGATGAGATGGTTAGATAGTATTGCTGACTCAATGAATATGAATTTGAGCAAACTTTGGGAAGCCTGGTGTGCTGCAGTCCATGGAGTCGCTAAGAGTCAGATACAACTTAGTGACTGAACAACAAAAAACAAAAATTAGGAAAAGTAGCAGTAACAACACATGGCTACTATGGCTTAGAACAGATTTTTTTTGGTATAAATTGTTTCATTATTTCTAAACTCCTATTAGGTAAGTACTGTTATTTATATTCCATTTAAAGATTAGTAAACAGGCACAGAAAAAGCAAAGTGACAAGGATGGGTATATAACTCAATAATCTGTGCAGTGAGCATATACATCAAAGCTGTATTACCAAATAAGAACCCTGGCTTAGGCCAAATAAAGGAGAAACAAAGTCATATTTTAATATTTCTCTAAAATTCTCATTTCTTTGTCCTTATTTTCCTGGGAGGGCAAAATAACTTGCACAAGGTTTAATTTTATTTTCTTAGTTATTTTACTTTTAGCTTTATTTTGTCATTTGCAACCGACTGTTTTTATATTCAGTAGGTCAGTCAGTCAGTTCAGTCATTCAGTCGTGTCCGACTCTTTAAGACCCCATGGACTGCAGCACGCCAGGCTTTCCTGTCCATCACCAACTCCTAGAGATTTCTCGAACTCATGTCCATTGAGTCAGTGATGCCATCCAACCATCTCATCCTCTGTTGTCCCCTTCTCCTCCTGCCTTTAATCTTTCCCAAGCATCAGCGTCTTTTCAAATGAGTCTGCTCTTCACATCAGGTGGCCAAAGTATTGGAGTTTCAGCTTCTGCATCAGTCCTTCCAATGAACACCCAGGACTGATCTGCTTTAGGATGGACTGGTTGGATCTCCTTGCAGTCCAAGGGACTCTCAAGAGTCTTCTCCAACACACAGTTCAAAAGCATCAATTCTTCGGTGCTCAGCTTTCTATAGTCTAACTCTCATATCCATACACAACTACTGGAAAAACCATAGCTTTGACTAGACAGACCTTTGTTGGCAAAGTAATGTCTCTGCTTTATAATACGCTGTCTAAGTTGGTCATAGTTTTTCTTCCAAGGAACAAGCATTTTTTAATTTCATGACCGCAGTCACCATCTGCAGTGATTTTGGAGCCCCCCAAAATAAAGTCTGCCACTGTTTCCACTCTTTCCCCATCTATTTTCCATGAAATGATGGGACTGGATGCCATGATCTTAGTTTTCTGAATGTTGAGCTTTAAGCTAACTTTTTCACTCTCCTCTTTCACTTTCATCAAGAGGCTCTTTAGTTCTTCTTCACTTTCTGCTCTAAGGGTGGTATCATCCACTGATCTGAGGTTATTGATGTTTCTCCTGGCAATCTTGATTCCAGCTTGTGCTTCATCCAGCCTGGCATTTTGAATGATGTACTCTGCATATAAGTTAAATAAACAGGGTAACAATATACAGCCTTGACGTACTCTTTTCCTGATTTGGAAACAGTCTGTTGTCCCATGTCCAGTTCTATCTATTGCTTCTTGACCTGCATACAGATTTCTCAGGAGGCAGGTCAAGTGGTCTGTTATTCCCATCTCTTTCAGAATTTTCTACAGTTTGTTGTGATCCACACAGTCAAAGGCTTTGGCGTAGTCAATAAAGCAGAGGTAGATGTTTTTCTGGAACTCTCTTGCTTTTTTGATGATCCAGCGGATGATGACAATTTGATCTCTGGTACCTGTGCCTTTTCTAAATCCAGCTTGAACATCTGGAAGTTCACGGTTCACATACTGTTGAAGCCTGGCTTGGAGAATTTTAAGCATTACTTTGCTAGTGTGTGAGATGAGTACAATTGTGTGGTAGTTTGAGCATTCTTTTGCATTGCCTTTCTTAGGGATTGGAATAAAAACTGACCTTTTCCAGTCATGTGGCCACTGCTGAGTTTTCCAAATTTGCTGGCATATTGAGTAAACCATTTTCACAGCATTATCTTTTAGGATTTGAAATAGCTCAACTGGAATTCCATCCCCTCCACTAGCTTTGTTCATAGTGATGCTTCGTAAGGCCCACTTGACTTTGCATTCCAGGGTGTCTTGCTCTAGGTGAGTGATCACACTGTTGTGGTTATCTGGGTCATAAAGATCTTCTTTGCATAGTTCTTCTGTGTATTTTTGCCACCTCTTTTTAATATCTTCTGTTTCTGTTAGGTCCATACTGTTTCTGTCCTTTATTGTGCCCATCTTGGGCTTCCCTTGTGGTTCAGCTGGTAAAGAATCCACCTGCAATGTGGGAGACCTGGGTTTGATCCCTGGGTTGGGAAGATCCCCTGGAGAAGGGAAAGGTTACCCACTCCAGTCTTCTGGCCTGGAGAATTCCATGGCCTGAATAGTCCATGGGGTTGCAAAGAGTTGGGCATGACTAAGCAACTTTCACTTTCACTTATTTTCACTTTGCATGAAATGTTCCCCTGGTATCTCTAATTTTCCTGAAGAGATCTCTAGTCTTTCCAGTTTTATTGTTTTCCTCTATTTCTTTGCATTGATCACCGAGGAAAGCTTTCTTATCTCTTATTTCTTATCTCTCTTTCCTTGCTATTCTTTGGAACTTTGCATTCAAATGGCTATATTGTTCCTCTTCTCCTTTGCCTTTCACTTCTCTTCTTTTCTCAGCTATTTGTAAGGCCTCCTTAGAGGCAGGTATTCAGTAGGTATTTTATAACATAAATGATAATAAAATTAAATAATATTTATGCAACCATATACTGTGTGCCAGGCACTGTTCTAAGCATTTTATATTTATGTACGGAAACCAAGCAGACCCCATGGGGTTCTCCCAAGAACAGATCCCTTGTGTTCTCTGCCTCTTTTTTTTCTTTTTATAAAATTGAAATACAATTGATTGACAATTTTCAGGTATATGGCAGAATGATACAGTTATACATATATACATTTATACATATATAGCTCATAGAAGTGTAAACATGTTACATTTATAACTAAAGCCTGGGGAACTCCGTGTCATTTAGCCTATTCCCCCCTGCCCTTGTTTCACAAATGGAGAAATTAGGTCTAGGGAAAGAAAATGACTTAATTTAGAGTTATGGAAGGAATTGGTGGCAAGGTTGGGGCCCTGAGATATGTAATATTAAAATATCCATTTAACATAGGAGAAACCTGATCCTCAGAAAGATTAAGGTACGTTCTCAAGATCATGAATCTCATTGTGTATTAGAACAGACACTTACTAGTGATGTCCATTTCTTTTCATTGCTGCATGGAATATTCCTTTCTAATTTGTACCTTTCCAGGCCTTGAATGCAAACCACTCATAGGTCTGAATTCCAGTTTATTTAAGAAAATGCCAGGGACCAAGTTTCTGTATGCCATGAAGGTAGCCCCGAGCACCCTGGGTTTTTTCAGTTACTCCCTGAATCTCAGAGGGGAGCTCTTCTCAGGCCTCACCTGCAGCAGCTCCAGCGCCGAGCCCTGCCTCCTCCTCTCCAGCTCTGCGATCAGCTCCTGCAAGGCCTGGATCTGCTGGGCCAGCCTGGCCTCTGTGTCCCCCAGGGTTCTCAGCTGTTGCCTCTCCTCCTCCTCTAGATTCTGCAGTTGCTTCTGCTCCTCTTCGGCCAGGAAGTTTTTCTGCCTTACAAACTCTTCATGAATTCTCAATTTGTGCGCCTCAACTTTCCCCTTTGGTGTCAATGGAAAGAAAGAGGTGGTTTTTAATCATAATCCCCTAAGATTTGGGAATGCAAGTATCCATACCTACTCCTACTCCACTCTGGCTCTGTCTGGGGACACACACATACACAACTGTGCTGGGAAGGAAGGTGGGTGAGGCTTCTGGGCTTGAGGGGAATGCGACTGGTGGGGCGTGGTAGGGGAGGCGCACCCTAGTTGCTCTCCTATCACAGCTGCATCAGCCTGTGGTATCAGAGATTTCCTCAACCTCCTTCAAGTCACCCCCACTCCCGCAATGTGCCCCTTTGTCTTCATATCTTAGTAACTGAGTGAGTAACACCTGGCTCTACTCCAACAAACCTGCAAAGCCAGGCTCATAACCTGGTTCCTAAGTCTGGGACAAAGGACTCTTTGAGATATTCTATGCTTGCCCTCTCCTGCTTCTAACTAGAGGGTCACTCAATACCACCACAGCCTGCCTTACCCTTCCTGGGTCTCAAGTCTTCCTCTTCTGGGACCTCTTGGCCATGAGCTCCTTCTGCTCCTTTCTAGTCCCTGACCCACCCCACCTCCTAATCCCTGGGGTGGAACAAGCTGTAGCTCTCCCATTACATTTTGGACCAGTGAGCTGGACATGGTCAAGTAACTACCTGGTCAGACTGGTTTTCCTATCTTAGGCCTTTGAAAGTGAAAGTGTTAGTTGCTCAGTCATGTCCGACTCTTTGCGACTCTATGGGCTGTAGCCTGCCAGGCTCCTTTGTTCATGGGATTCTCCAGGCAAGAATACTGGAGTGGGTAGCCATTCCCTTCTTCAGGGGATCTTCCCAATCCAGGGATAGAACCCGGGTGTCCGATACCGCAGGCAGATTCTTTACCATCTAAGCCACCAGGGAAGTCCATCTTAGGCCTTTATGGTTCCCTTAAGTCTGGTCCTCACAGTCACTGTCATTTCTTGACAACTTGTCATCTCTTGACATTGGGAATCTCGCCTGGCATTCCTCTGTCCCAGACCCTGAGGCCCTGCGCTGCCATCTCCAGAGACTGGGCTCAAGAAGCAGGAGCATTAGGGTGTATCTTGTCCCTCAGCACCTTCTCCTAAGACTCTCTCTCCATCTGATTGGGAGCTCTTTTGATCTCCATACTCTTTCAATCCCCTCCATCAAGAGACCTACGGGGCAGCTGGTTTTTGGGGAGTGAGATATAGGGACTGGCATAGCTGGACCCTCCCCAGGTTTCTGATCTAAGATTCCCTTCAGGATATGACTCTTGCCTTCCAGGAGGCTTTCTTCATTGCAATGTCCAATTCCAGCTTCTCAGCCAACTCCTGCTTATCTCTTAGTTTCTTTAATGCCACCTGAAGCTTCTCCTGCAGAGAATGAAAGCAAGATGATACCCAGTCAGGTCAAGAAGGAGGGTGCAGGGGTGTGAAGTGGGGGAAGATCATACTGGTTCTTAGAAGAGCCTGAGTGCAGAGGACAAGGAAGGACTAGAGTCTCTTTGGGGTAGGAACTCTGTGGATGGGAAGGTTTTGGAAAAAGCCTGATATTTCTTACAAAATAGGGCCACATGGTTGGGGTACAAAGGGTGGGGGCACTGCTTGTTCCTAATTAAGCAGGAGGGCACAAGGGAAGATGATTCTTGAAGCATTTTCCCATGGCACATCCCTGCTCCTGGAAAATGAGAAAACTGTGCTGAGCTTGCCATTTCCCCCTTAAATAAGACATAGAATGCAGGACACCCCTATCCTTTCCCCAGCCCCACAGGTAACTCTCTCCCATTCCCAGCTCTGGGGAACAAAGCCGTCAACAGGGCGCCATCTCCTTTTTACCTGTTCCTGCCTCTGTGCTGAGGCCTCACCTGGTACTCCTGAGCAGCCTCCTCAATAGGGACCTTGGGATGATCACGGTGTTTCTGGGACTGGGAACACACCCAGCAAAGGGCCTTCCCATCTTTCTCACAGAAGAGGTGAAGTTTCTCTCTGTGCACCGCACACAGCTCCCCGTGTGGGCCCTCCATGGCACCCTGGCTGATTTTTTGAAGGTTGTCCACCATGTTGGCTACCTGTAGATTGGGCCGGAGGTTCTGGAGCAGGAAGTGGTGTCGGCACACAGGACAGACACTGCCCCCGTCTTTCCCGACCTCAGAGATGCACTCCTGGCAGAAGCTATGACCACAGTCAATGCTCATGGGCGCCACCATGGGATCCAGGCAGATAGAGCACGTGACCTCCTCCCACATCATTGTCAAGGGTATGGCTGAGGCCATCGGGGTGATGCTCCTCTTCATCAGTGCTGGGGAGATCTTGTGGTGAGGGGAGGAGAAGGGGAAAGGGAGGGAAGAGAAGAGCTAGGTGAGAAAAGGGAACCAGAGGGAGGTTGACCTGGAGGGAGTGCAAACAAGAAAAGACAAGGACCTCAACCTCAATAGCAAGCGCTCCTCTTCCATAGTCTGGGTCACTGATCCAGTCAGACAGAAGGGGACACTGAATCCCCAAGAGATAGCAAAAATTGTTGACAACCTGAGAGACAGCTGCTTACATTTTGACTTTCATCATGTTTATCTCTGCTTAACCTCTCAGAGTCCAGGCTTTACCTATTGATCTTCTGCCTCAGGCCACTGGTCTTCCACTCTGTTGAGAAGATAATCTTAACATTAGCGACCATTGACGGTGCTCCTTCCATGTGCCAGGTGCCACATACTTCACATACATTCTCATTAATCTTTGCAATAGGCAGAGGTTATTGGTATCTATCTAATTATCAGTAACATGAATATATATAAGAATATTTATATTTATTCTTACATATTCTCCTAAGGATACATGTATATCTGTATTAAGTACATGGGCTTCCTAGGTGGTGCAAGTGGTAAAGAATCCACCTGCTAATGCAGGAGACACAGGAGACAGCAGGTTTGATCTCTGAGTTGGGAAGATTCCCTGGAGAAGGAAATGGCAACCCACTTCAGTATCTTACCTGGGAAATCCCATGGACAGAGGAGCCTGGCGGGCTACATACAGTCCATGGGGTAGCAAAGTGTCAGACACGACTGAGCACACACACACACACATATGTATATGTGTGTGTATATATGTATGTGCATACATACAGAAGTGTGTGGTTTATTAAGAACTTCCTGGGCTCTTCTCTCAGCTACTCTGAACCTGGCACCACCTTTGTTTCTTCTAGGGCATAGACCCAGAGTTTTCTAATATCCTAAGCAACCCTGTCTCTCTCACCTCCAGAGGGGGCGTTTTGGGGACAGCAGTCTCAGGGATCGCGGATCTACCCCCACACCGGGCTCTCCTGGACCAACCCCAAGCTAGGTTGCCATCCTAGTTCTCCCAGTTTCTCTGGGTCTTTCTTCCCAACTCAGGTGCCGGCGGAAGCAGGGCAATCCGAGCTCCTTCCAGGGGACTTCCCAGTCAGGAGGACAGCCCAGCCTCCTCCCAGGCTGCAGGGGAAGAACAGCTGGGTTAGGGTTGAGGGAAACCTATTGAGAAAGAAAACCTGAGATCGAAGTTTCTAGGGGTGGGGACGGCTAGGATGAGGCTCCTCAGACCCGGGGCAGGGGAGGAGGTCCCCCAGGGAGAGTTGGGGTACCTCGGTCTAGCCAAGTTCACTCACCTTTTCAAGGCACGCAGTAGATAGCAGCCGCTTTCTTATTTCACTTTCGATTTCCCGTCCACTGCAAATCTGAAAGGGAGGCGGGCAGAGGGGGCGGAGAGTGGGCGGGGCCAAGGGAGGAGGAAGGAGGAGGGGTTGAGGTGCCGGTAGAGTCCGGAGCTTCTTGGAGGCTGGGGGGAGCGAAAACTCCGCAGCGTTTAGTCCTTGCTTTGTGTTCCCTCCGGTGTCCTCATTGTGTAATAGAGTGAAGCATCATATCTGCTACGTGGAGGAGCCATGCTGCTTTCTTTGATGCTGGTCATCACCCCAGGCCTAGGTGCTGTGCCCTTGTGTGGGAGCTGCTTTTGAGGAGGTTTGGATGGACAGGGGTTCCTGGAGCTCTCCTCTAAAGGCCACCTTCTGTTCCCTACTTCCAAAAACAATTCCTTTTCAGGAGACTTGATATTCTTTTAACATCAGGGGGAGAGCGATTTATTCAGCAGTACCTCAGGGCATTATCACACCAGTGAGTGGTAAGGAGGGACTTGACATTTATTGAGGCACCAACTGTGCACTTCTCCCTGAGCCAGGGACTTTTTCAGGTTGTTTTATTATTATTTTAAATAATAAAATATTTATTTTATTGAAGTGAAGTGGTGAAGTACGTATAACATTCACCATCTTAACCCTTTTTAAGTATATAGTTCAGTGGCATTAAATACATTTACAGTTGTGTACTTCGCCATGGTCCATGGGGTCTCAAAGAGTCGGACACAACTGAGCGACTAAGCACAAGAAACCTCAAAGAGCCAGGGAGTAGTGGCAAATTTCTCTTTATGAGAATCAGAGTTTTCACTCTGGTGGAAGAACTTGCTCCTTTACTAGACCCTTAGAACAAGGCTGAGCCCTATGTTGGGGGATGGAAAGAAAATGATCTGTAAATGCGTTACCAGTTTGAGGGAAATAGGAGCTGCAACCACCTCCCTTCTTTATTCTATGAAGAGTGTGTTTATAATGGCTATGAAAAATACCATCACCTATTAGTTGTTGATCTTAGGTGTGCACCAGAATTTATGGTACAATGTTCTTATATCATAGAGTAGGGTTTTCAAACTGCTGCCATATCTGAGCCTTTAGCAGTGAATCTCATATTTTTACTGGACCATATTTTTCTGGTTGATGATGTACATTGTAAGACCACTGCATTCCATAGTGCAATCCCATTATCAGAATTTTTGGACTGTAAAATCAGTTTCTTGGTTGTAAGGGATGTTGTTGGAGACCCTGATGTTGTAAATCAAAAAACAGTGGTGCTGGCAGAAGCAATATAAGACAGCAAATAAATTATTCTCTGAAATGGTACCTATTTTGTGAGGATAAATTGCTGTTGGTTCAATGTCATTAACATGTCACTAAAAGACTGTGTAGATTCTCTTAGAAATAGGGAAAAATCAGGCTCAGAGTTGGTCTTTTATGTACAGGTGTCTATAGCAGTAGGAATACAATTGCTGCCTGAGTATGGATTCCTTGGGTTTATCCATTTACCACTACTGATAAGGACACTTGTACAAGAGTCCATTGAATAAACACCAGGTGACTGAGAAAAGACTGATCAATACCCAGAGGATGGGTCATCTTATTTACCTGATTGTTGTTGTTTAGTCGCCCAGTTGTGTCTGTCTCTTTGCAGCTCCCCTGGACTACACGTGACAGGCCTCCCTGTCCCTCATCATTTCCTGAAGTTTGCCCAAGTTCATGGTCATTGCATTGGTATTGCCATCTAGCCATTTCGTCCTCTGATGCCCTCTTCTCCTTTGCCCTCAAATCTTTTCCTACATCAGGGACCTTTCCAATGAGTCATCTGCTTGCATCAGATGACCAAAATACTGGAGCTTCAGATTTAAAATCAGTCCTTCCAGTGAATAGGATGGGTCATCTTATTCCCCTGATTATTGGGTGCCTTCTCTGCATTATATGTCCTCTTGTGGGAATTCACATAAGACAAAAGCATTTTCACTCTGGGCCCTTTCCTAGATGTTCACTGTATACTTCTACCCATAACTCTGTCATCAATCTTTCAATCTTTTTTTCAGCCCTGGACCTACAGGCCAATCTGTAAGACAAAATCAGGTGGTGCATATACAACATATATATAAATTAATCTTTGGTTTCAAGCAAGATGGACAAGTTCTTGCTTCAAGTTCTGTACACTGGGAAGAGTTTCCATCACCATTGTCTTTCAGGGTGATGTGTATTGGATACTAATCTTGTGTACCATCTCAGATTCTCATGAACCCCTCTTATTCTCTTAGTCAGCACCCTAGCAGTGCTCGTTACTGTTCTGTACACACACTTTTGGATTTGATGAGACATCACATACAGGGCATGGGACCCAGATTTCTGAGCAGTTGTTATAAGCAAATGGCACAAGTGCAAAAATTGCAGGGAGTTAGTTTCTCATGAGGTGAGCATTGATGGGAGAAAGTGGGAAAGATAAATTCCCTTCATTTTCCTCCCATGGACTATTTCAAGGTGAGGTTCCCCCTTGTAGTTCTGATGAGTAAACCCACTGACTGAGGGGCCTGTCATATATTTTTGAAACTCGTTATGAATGTCATCTACTGTGATAATGTATTGCATTGTTTTGTGTTTTTCCTTGCCTCACTTCCCTTTTCTCCAAGGCTAATTGTCTTCCTTTTTTTTTTCTTGCTCTCATTGCCTGCTGAATAAAGATCACTAATTTAATCATACCTCAGCTCATCTAGGTGGATATGGTCAATCTTCCTTCAATATTTGCAATGCCTAAACCCAGTTAGTAACCAGGTCACAACTTGAAAACCCAGCATTCAGGAATTAACCTCTTGCAATGAAGAGGGAGAAGGGATATATTCGAGAGCAAGTGACTGGCTCAGTGTTTTATACATGTCATCTCATTTATACCTCTCTAGATAGTCTTGTCATTTCAGTTTTAGAGAGTGGATGCTGATACATTTAGAGTCCAGGTACCTGGCACAAGGTACCTAGTTTAAAAGTAAGGAGTTTAACGAAGTTCTGCTTGATTCCATATACAGTGATCTTAACCATAATCCAGGCAGGCTTTAAATATATATATATATATAGGCCAACTTATCCTTAAAGTCTCAACTCAAACACCATCCTCTTTTATATAAAACATTTCCTCTTTCTCTTTGTCTGCTAAAGTAGAGAATAATATACCATTTTAGTTTTTAGGCACTTTTACTAAAGAATACACTTGCCAATGGAAGAGCCTCAGGAGATACAGTTTTAATCCCTGGGCCAGTAAGATCCCCTAGAGGAGGAAATGGCAACCCACTCCAGTATTCTTGCCAGGATAATCCCATGGACAGAGTAGTCTGGTGGGCTACAGTCCATGGAATGGCAAAGAGCAGACATGACTGAGTGTGCACTCTTGTTTAGAGGCATAAACTACTAGAGGGTAGGATTGGTGCCTAATTAATCCCTGGGTAAAACACAGTGAGTAAATGAACCCCAATTTTGTGAGCTGATATGATTTTGGGTGGCCTCGGCCTGCAAAGGTTTGGAGCAGGGCTTGGGTTCCCAATCAGAGATTGGGGCCCGGTTGAGGCAGTGAAAGCACCAGATCCTAGCCACTCGACCAGTTGTCAATGACAAGGGCCC